TAAACAATTACAGGCCAACTTGTCTTTTACCCTTTGAATAAGTTTTTCGCGAATATGGTAAAGTAGGGTTTTCTACATTTGCTCCACTCAAACGCTACTGACGCCGCCATATGTGCCCCGTCAGTCTGGCCGACTCTTTCAAAGTCTCGAAATCACATTGGGACAAATGATGCCTCTTTGCCATAGTTGCATACGTCCCCACAAACTGTAGCCCCGACTCTGTGAAAGATTTTATATCCCCAACCGAATGAGCTCCTTCGTCACTGAATCAACAACAGATGAAGGCGGAATCCCGATCATTGAACGCGGCATTTAAGGACCGGTTGGTTTGTAATGTTTCCAAAACCTTTTCCTAGAGATCGCTTGTCGCATTCGAAGAGGTGCACCACACTTCAGCTTATCCTCCTATGGGTGTCATACCTCCCGGTCTTAGTATTCAGTAACCACTCTATACCATGTATTCACTAAGAATGCTTGTAAACGCGCTGCGAACAGGAAGTTCTCTACTTAATTTGAAGAAGATATCAGAATCGGCTATTAAACACATGGAACCGTTATTGTAGTGGCAACTAGGCGTCTAAGCAAAGCCGAAGTTACTGCTAAGCAACTGTTCTCAAGTGGGACCATATTGGATCCGATGGGTCTGTTTTCAGCACCATTGCAAATTAGCAAGCAATTTGTGACGAACTGGATAAGCTTAAAAACAAACTGTCAATCGTTGGTATTCTCCGCTTGGTCCTTACTAACATTAAGCCTTTTGTTAATTTTCTACACATACTAACCGGCCCAGCGGTAGATCACCTAATTCCTGTGAGGGCGTTTGTCGATATGATAGCTACAGAAGTCTTCAATGAGGTACGGTGCTCAAAAAATGCAGTGCCTCTTCAATATCCCTGACAAAATTGCCATCACTTCCGTACGGAATATTTTGCTTAGAGCCAGCAATATGGCTGAGAAGAAGGTTCAACTCCGCTTTTGCCCCATCCTCTCTCAATTTGCGAATGCTCTGACTGCCACTGAGTTTATCGGGAAATGTGACCAAATTTCTAACGAATCAACGGTTAAGTCACTGAATATTACTCCAGACGGAACGTCTTTGCAATGAGAACTTTGGCAAGGACAGGAAGTTTCTCATCTACACCGAGAACCACCACATAACAGTGCACTTGCCTGTGCTTCATCTACTGTCACCACCTCGCCAGAAACCACACCTCGTTGTAACCACTCACCCAGTTATAGTATTCCTGAGGATCCAACAACAGTGGCGAATACAGCTGATGAATTAAATCTTTTCGGTGGAATGATGAAACACATCCACGAACCGAAATCCAGAATAGACGACGAAGGAAAAAATTGTCTAACGTATTCTTCCAGTGGCAACGTTGATTTTACTATTTCTGCGTATCCGTCTAATGGCCAAGAGTCTAGTTGTGATGATGGTCAATTATATTCCGCACAAATTAAATGATCAACAAAATCATCGGTCGTGATACATCATCAAACATCACCGACTGATGTCTAATTTGGCGGAGAGGCAGTACTGCATACTCACGGTATACTGAGCAAAATTATCCATCACACAAGCATCACCTCTTGTAAACCGAGTACCATATCAAGAAATCATTCCAAAACTACAACCAAATGGGCTGCACGATAGCTCTCGACCACAGTGTTATTCATAGTGTTCTAGGCTTTAAACTACCAGATTCAGTAATGGTTCTTGGGGTGGTCATTGATATTTGCGCTGCACCCGGTACACTACCACACTTGGTTGTAGCCAGTATGGTACGCAAGAGGATTCACGATTATCCAGGATTACTTTGGCTGAGTTCGACTGATCAAGCCACTTTATCAGAAAAAGAGTTTGCGAACAAGCTTTGTTCTCAGTGGTTCGTCATCAGGCTATTACACCACGAAAGAATGACATAGAAATGTAACGGAAAGATTGTGGTACATGTTCAGAAGCCTAGATGGACTAAGTGTCGAAGTTAGGTGCTAGGTCTCACGGTGATCAGGGCTTTGTGTGTAATATTAATCACACAGTGTCCGCGTTACAGGGGCCAGGGTAGGGTGAGTGCCCGGACGAATTTCTTATGTGCACATAGGTCAGGGTCATGAAGCCGAATGGCAATCGTTTCGGCCGCTGCCAGTAGGCGACATCTGACCGCTCGTGTATGGCGTCTGGGTACGCGGTAGATGGGATGGAACGCCTCGTGTGCATCGACCTGGTGGTTTCAATCAACCAAATATGCAGACACTGCGCTTGCCGCTGTTCTGGTCCATCCGCTATGTAGCCAAGCTGTGCAGTGCTCTCGGGCTTCCTCAGACAGTCTCCTGGTGGCTCTTCCAATATAACAAACAAGAGAAAGAGTAAACACAAAGAAATACTTGACCGCGGAATCCTGTCTTTAAGTCCCGTCCTTAACGCTGAACTGAAGTCTAACCTTAAGCTTGCTGCCTAGTAGGTTTGGGAAATTGCATCAGAAAGCTTTCTAGATGTTGATTCCGTTATCCCGTCCCCCTTGAACGGTAGCGATAGCTAGACCGGCTTCTTTCCCATTTAAACCAATTTACTCTTTAAAACTGTTAAATCCCCTTAGTAACTTGCAAAGCACAATTAGAAGACAAACTTCGTCTTCTGATTGTGCAATTTACTCGGTTTATCGAGGCTCATATTTAACTGAACGAACTTCTCCTGATAGCCTTTTCTCTCAAATAGGCTCTGTATTGTCAGCAGGCTATCTGTTATCCGCACACTGCCACATCTAAAAATGTTTTATTTAGTATATAATTGTCTCGACCACTAGCGTCTACCTACGTGACCGATGAAGGTTCGCTGGCTTGTGGTCCGCGTTGTGATGATTGTGGCTGAAACCTGAGGCGAATGGAATCGTTGTAATGCCGATGGGCCGGGAGCCAATCAGATGTCGCCGACGAGTGCTGGGAGTGCACGACGGGTCCCGCTGAACGCAACGGAGAGGCGGTGTGCCTTCGAACAGCTGAAAAGCGGATTGGTCTGCCCAGCGGCGAACAGATAGCATACGCTTGAAGTCCAAGTTAACACTATCCCCTCTGGTAACTGGTCAGCTGAGTGGACATCAGTCACGTGGATAGAATACTGAATACTGCATGTAGGAGCAAGTAGAAATATATATCTGTACAGCTGCATCGCAACCTAGTCAAAATATTCGATCTTCTATGCCTTGCATTAGGTAATTGGACAGTAGACGGGTGAGCCGTACTCCACTATTGGTGTCATAATGAAAGAGAAGAGACGAGTGGCAACCTCTTCAGACCAAGTACAGAAGACGGGTTTGATCGCCCAAACCAGGTGCAGTCCGTTACGATATAGTCTGTTGCTTTTATCAATAGATTTTAAATTGCAGCACGTGAATACACTTAGGTCTTTCACGGAAGGTGTGAGATGTACCGGTTGGTCGTCAATGGTGTAAATTCGGCCATCGCCAACCTTCCCCAGACTCATGAATACCGAGTTGCTTGGGTTGGTTGGCGACGGACCTGTGTATACCACATGCTGAAGCGGCTAAGCTGTTGCTGAAGTCGTCTGGAGTGCTAATTTCTCTTCAGCTCGTCCGCAAACAGGGCACACAACGACCGAAAAAGCTGAAGTAGATCTTTGATGTGGATTAGGAACAGAGTGGGGTACTCCACTAGTAGAGGGATACCAGTAAATTAAATGACCGTCGACCTGTACCCTCTGCTTTCAGTTAACGAGATGGTTCTTTATCCACTGGTGCAGTGACCCACCAACACCGCACATCCTTAGCTTGTGGAGGATGATCTCACGATTTACCTTGTCAACCGCTTTACTGAAATGGATGGAAATTTACTTCGACAGACTTCCCCCGGTTTACTGCCTGCAACCATTCTTTCCTCGTTACTAACAGGTTGGTAAGGCATGAGTAGCCTGACATAAAACCGTGCTGTGCGGGCATCAGTAGATCTTTTGAATGGAGCAGCTGTAGTAGCCCCTCCTTCACAATCTTCTCTGCAACCTCGGCCAAATTAGGTGTCGAACAGATCGGTCCGTGCATGTCCACTTTGCTGGAGTCATCGGCTTGACAATGAGCCTTCGAATAGTGATCCGTTGGGCAAGTCAGTCATAGCAGGTGAGATGATGACGGATAGGCACTTGAGAATTAGTGGATGGAGTCTGTCAGGGCTAGCAGGTTTGATTCCGTCAAGGTTGGTGACTAGGTTGCTGCACCTCAACACCGCAAACCAGACTTTCGAGTTCGGTAAGCGCAGTGCACATTGAATTCGGTACAGACACCTGGTTATTTGTAAACACGGAAGCGAAGTGCACTGCCAAGGCGGACGCACTCTCAGTGCTAGAGTTTAGGGACAGACCGTCCGAGCCCTCTAGCACTGGCAGGTCATCTGCTATCTTGGTGCGCCGCTTCGCATAAACAAATATTCTTTTCGGAGCTGTCTTTGCGACTGTTGCGATCCGGCGCTTGCTCGTTATTGCACTATTGCAAGTATTTTGTTGTCTCTTATACTCTTCATAATCATTCGAAAAGCTAGAGAGGAGGAATTTGTCCCACAATTTGCGCCGCCGCCTTGCCATTGTTCTGTACTCCTTGTCGAACCAAAGCGGTTTGACTGGCTCACTTTTCGATATTTCACTGGTACAAACTGAGAACACAGTAATGTCACTCCATCTCTCTAATAACAGTCCGACAGTCTTCCGCAAAGGCAGCTTGCGGCAGAGACCAATCTACTTGGCTCGCGGTTTGAGTTAGACCGTCGAAGTTAGTTTTCCAGTAGTTGTAAGCTGGCTCCAGCGGATGGGAATACGGTAAAGATAGATCCATACTGGCTGTGGTCACTGAGTGATCGCTTGCTTCTAGGAGCTCTAAGATCTGAACGTCACATATGTGTTGTTCACAGCTTGTCAATACCAAGTCCAGGCACGACTCAACTGAGCGCGGCGTTACTCCAGTCGGCTGGTTGAGATATGTTGCGCGGCTCAACTTTCAAGTACTACTAAGTACGAATTTTGTTTCGACCTCGCAATGTCCTGGCATAAGTTCAACTTCAGTCCAGCACATCCGAGGACAATTGAAATCACGCATGACTAGAACATGGGGACGACTCATGTGGCTTCGGAGATGCGGCAACAAGTCCAAACAACTACTCAGGGAACTGCGATAAAATGCACCCACGAGCAGCTCCCCGCGTCTGAGGTGGATCGAACACCACAGCTGCTCACACAAACCATCCTCACTTTTGTAGACGCTCACAATTCTCCCACACATGGTGGACCGGCTGTGGTGCAAGACGCTACCTTGGACAGTTGATGGTCTATCGCATCGGAAGCATGAGTAGTCACTGAGTTCGATTTCCTGGCCTGTCACCTTAGAATTCAACCACTATTCTGCAGGTGCCATTACGTCTGGTTCTTCAGATGCAGCACAACGACAGTTTATTGTGCTTGTTCATAAGACTATAAATGTTGTTAAAGGTTACAGGTAGGCCGCAGCAGAAACCACCGGACATGCTTGAAGTATGAGCGGTCTGTTTATCCTGATTCGTGGAATCTTGGAAACGATCCGGGAAATTTACGATACGGAGATTCATTTCCCCATCACCGTTTCCTCTCTTCTGTTCAATGGTAGCAGACTTGAGTCGTTCTCGATCCACCGGATCTAAGTATGGACGAACATGGACTTTTGAACCTATTTACTTGGGACAAGATAAAATTCTGGTTGACATCGTCCACAAAGGCGATTCTCAATGGTCGACTTTATTGATCTTCTTTCTTTCCAAGATGGGTAATTTGCTTCACTTCCAACCCGTCCTCCCCATGTCGAGGACTCTGTCAATTAGACTCTGTAAAAACTTGAGGCCGTGATCGTAGCGTATCTGGGGAGTTGGATTATTGGACTCAGACGCGTGGAAGATCACGAGGTTAAAATGCCTCTGGTCAGCCAATGTTGACCTTGCAAGACGATGATTTGCTCGCGCTTCACGTGGTCTTACCTGTCGTGAGTTAGCATCGACTAAACTCTTCATTTTCTGCTTTTCCTTTCCTTGTGCTTTCCACATATCTTCAGTATACAGGCCTTCACACACTGGAGCATCTGTGCTCGTAGAATACAACACGCGTGAAATGTTCGCGTCAGGTATAGCTGAGCTCCTGGTAACTGCGGGACTTCGTGCCGGTGAGTTTGCACGGGACGAGCAAGAAAGCTTATCTGAGACCTGGAGTTGCTTCGGGTTAGCTTGTTGGGCCAAACATACGGAACTGTTCTCAACATAATGATTCACCTTACAATTCGGTTTGTGACTCTGCTATATTTTCTCCGACTAAACCTTGTTTTGGCAATTCTGGCACAAAATTTGAACGAAATCATGGCGGATTTCACGAAAGCGCCGAAAATGCTCGATCGATAGTCCATAGGATGAGCTGCTACAAACCGCTTCTTATGGTCTTCTTTAATGCTACCGTCTATGCGATTTTATTTCTTTCAAACTTAATTCATACCAAATGTCTTCTGTTTCAAACCGAGCGCAGAATTATTTACTGGTGTGGCGTCAGGAACTATTTTCGTAATTTTCCCCATAAATTGATTACTTCGTAATATTGTTCTGTGATCCCCTTCGTAACATTTGTTCTGCAGTGCTAATCATTTCCCCTTCTTTTCTGAAGTTAACAGTCCAGAAATATATACTTAGTTCAGTGATGGTAATAACCGATTCCCTGTGACTTTTGCCTATGGACAACTCCTACAGCTATCTGTCTCCGACTGTAACGCCACACAATTTGATCGTATAATCGGCTCGATCCATTTTTACGCTGATGTAAAAAAACATACCTGCCTATTTTTACATTAGCGATATAGTATCTCCTTCACGTAATTCTTCTTTTCTACATTCTTCCTTATTTTTTATTGTTGGCCACGACTGGGCTGATCTCCTGTGGTGACGGGTTATAGCTTCCAGATTATAAAAGACTTTACCTATGTAAAGCGCATTGCCACAAATTGACTGGCGTATGAAAAAGTGCCATAATTGAATGATCCGCATGACGGACTGGGCTGAGGCTTCATCGCTCACAATACATGTATAAAAGCAGCCCTAAAAAGAACACAATATATGATAAACAGGTGATGGCTCATATGCTACTATGTCGCACCGGCACGCGGCCAGTTATTGCATGGAAGTGCGAGCGAAACCTTTCGAAGGAATACCTTGCATGGAAGCATGTCCCCTGGGGACGGTTCCACGAGTGGCCGTATTACTTTAACTGGACATCTGTTTAAATCTGCTTTGTTATTGTTCCTTGTTTTTTTTACTTTCTTTAATACCTTAATCCTGCCTATTACTTTAATACCTGTTTTGGATCCATTGTAAAAAGCGTGAATAAATTGATTATTTTTTGCGATCCTGTTGTACACATTGATCAGACCACATAGTTGGACTGCACCTCGAATCACCGAGGAATATACCATTCCTTTATTTGTTTCATGAGATGTGGACTTTAACGTGGCACATAACCCATGTGAGTGCACTTGCTTGACAAGAACCGCAAGGAATTGTTTCGGCATTGTGAAAAATCCTAAACCAAGATGGCAGACAATTGCTGAGCACAAAGCGATAGTAAACTCTCCGAAAGTAACCAGACATAGCACAATTATTTATGATCGAAAATCCAGAATCACTAATGAAACTGAATGCTACTGAAATTTCCACGTAATAACTCTAGTGCACGGAGAAATCTAACAAAAAATAACCTGGTTAACACAGTAAGGAAGAATCAACTGGAGGTCGCTGACCGCAATCAGACAAAGGGTTTATGGCCAATCGGACACCGACTGTGTAGCCTATGCGTGGTGACATCGATGGGACCTAGCATAACTCTAGCCAAGGTAGGCGTGGATTAGACTGTATGGAGAATCAACACGAACCGACGGAATGTAGCTAACGATACGCGCTAGTTAGCAATGGCAATGCAGTGCAACAGACCACGATAGAATAATAAGTTTAGGTTATATACTCTATAAATAACTTCTAATCTTAATAGCGATTTTGTGGTCGTCACCAGGACGTGTTCTTTGATTCCCGGATGATTACACGACAGGTGACATCTGTTTCTGGTTCTATCTATTACCTTTTAATGCGGCTGCAGGATAACTGTTCGTTCAATTGGCTTACTCTATACCTTAACCAAATTTGTACACTCACCCAATATCCTGTGTAATCTCGATCCCTTAAAATTGGGGTTCATGCGAAAGCACCTTATGTGTTCGTTGGAGCAACTGTTTACAAAGTCAGCTACTTGCACTGAGTATGCATTTTTCTCTTTTAATTACTGTACGCAAACGACGCACCTTTTAATGGGGCATTTTTTGCAATTTACCTGTTTCAGAGCAATTGACGCCAGTAAATTGGAGTCTTTCATACGAAAAAGCAAGCTCGCAGTGCGTTGTGGAACATCCCTTTGTTGCGTAGTTTTCACATCCAACATGTGCCCAAATTTTATCCTGTATATTTACTAAACCCCTTTTGCAATTTCCAAGCTGATCTGTTGTTCAATAAAATGGTTTCAACCACAGGCGTATGAGTTAGCCTGTCAAGTCAGAGTTTAGCTGCACTGGGTAGCTTCTATACCATTTCCCACCCATGTTCGTTAGTAGTTCAATGAAATTTGTCTGGTCACGAAGCGAAACAGTTTGTTACCCTCTCATGTTCGTTGGCATTGGCGTTGTCTGCGCGCACAGTCATGTAGCGGCCTTATTGTTAGGCCGGTGTCAGTCAATTGGACTTTGTGTTGGTGAGTATCTTCCCCTCCTTCTCTTGCAAATTTTCACCTTATCCATGTCGCGTGTTGAGTACCCTAAAGCTTGGAGACCCTCCACTATTACGCCACGTCATAAAGGTGGGTCGATGCAAGTTGTCCGCAATTTCCGCCCGATCGACCACACCTCCATTAAATCTAGTTTAATGAAGAAACCAGTCAAAAAAGGAAATTTTAATTTATCTGTACAGGTAAGGGGTCATACATAAGTCTCAGCATAGCTTCCTTACGGCATGATCCTTTGTGACATACCAATTACTTATTTTCGACCTTATCACCGAAGCCATGGATTCTGACCTGGCAGTAATAACATTGTATCTTGATGTGCAAAAGGCATTCGATCAAGTTCCTCATCGGCGTCTAATGAATAAGGTTAGAGCTTATGGCATACAAGAGCCACTGCTAAATTTGCTTGCTGCTATCTTACTCAAAGTACACAATCTTTAAGAATAGGATGGGTTGAATCAACTACTACAGACGTTACAAATGGTGTTGCTCAAGGCGGCGTACTAGGTGCACTCTTTTCCGATGTACGTAAACGACCTATGTGACATGTTACTGCACGGTCGCCCATTTCTTTTCGTATATAATGTAAAAGTCGTCTACAGCTTTCAACCAAAATACCTAGTACCTGAACTAGACAAAACCCGCGAGGACATAGCAGCTTTGGAGTCTTGGTGTCATAATTGGCAGATGCTGTTCTCAGCCAAAAGGTCTAGCGACATTGTTTAGAAATGCACCATACCTCCACGGGGCCTTATCAACTACTAATAATACCATTATTAAAACGGTCACCTCAATTAAGCATCTGGGGTTACTTTATTTTAACCTTTTACCCCTTATCAGAAAAGTATGTTTTAGTGTAGCTAAAGCACGACAGTTAGTCTACCCCATATGCCGGCAAGTTCACACTGATGAAGCAAGATTAGAACCCTACAGATTGTGCGTTCATTCGCAAGTGAAATATTACACATTCATATGTAGTAACTGAAGAAAATCCGACCAGATGCTACTGAACAAAACCCAGCGGCACGTGACAAAGTCTTCCTAATAGAAATCTATGTATGACTTATAAAAAGCGATGCATCCTCTTCAAATTCCAACCTCGTCGGTTGCGGCGCACGAAACTTAACCTTTGCTTTTTACTTAAACTGCGTTACAAAAGGGCATATAGTGCATTCTCGCACTTGCAGCCATGTACTGGTTTAAATTTAAGCCTGCTATTAATAATAATAATTGCACCATTCTAAGTTTGAAGGCCAGGAACAAATGCGCACAGGTTATTTCTTGGTATTTTATACCAATCTTTGGAATAAATTACCTACGAGACTTAGGGAGTGTATGCATCCACTACCATTCAACAGGGACGTACGAAACTTTCTTAACCTTTTAATCGAGAAACGCATGCTCACTTCTGTGGCACCGATGGGCACTTATTTGAATCAAGCCCCGACAGCATCTAACTCAAGTTTCATCCCTCAATTATCCAAACTGTTATGTACGATGAACAATGATTTAATTCGGGTAAAAAAGCAGTTGCTTCAC